AAGAATTATTGAGGGAGCTAAAATTGATAGTAAAGAGAAAAGAATATTTGAAGAAGTGGTTGATTCTCAGACTGAGGTAGGAATTCATACACAAACCTGAAACATACCATGATACTAAAAAGTAAAGAATTATTGAAAACAAAATAAGAAACAAGCCCACATTGATGATGTATGACAAAGGAACACAGGGGCCAATATAAAGAGTTGCCCGTAGCCAAAGGTGGAAGAATTTGAAACAAAAAAGAGAAAATTATTGGATTATCAGGCAGAGTATAAAATATATATGTATACACATTGATTATGTATATGTGTATAAGTATAAATATATAATTGAATACATAATAGAAGAGAAAAATCTCTTGTGCAAAATTAATAAATCATGCAAATCCTCTCTCATATTGGAAGGGGAGCATGACTTTTCACTCCTTAAGAGTGACTGCCTCCCAAAGGTATGGATAGTATGGAAACCTGTCGGTGGAATACTACTTCAGCTAGGTGATCAAAGTTATTATCAATAGTGGTAAGTCATATTGACCACATGTATCATCCATATGATGAAACTGAACAAACTATGGGCTTCCATCTGTTCATTGGCACCATTAGGAGCACACAGTGTCCTGGGCCTATGTTAATGAATGTTTATCAGTATTGATTCAGTAACTCTAATAAAAGCACCATGCTAATGTAAAGTATAAGTGGGAGAAACTGCTTAGGGAGGGGTGCATGGGAACTCTCTCGACTTGGCCATCATCTTATGGAGAGAGAGGGAAAGAGTGGGCATGGGGAAGATGAGAGAAGCTGTTGGTTACTAGATCTTGCAATAGTTTCCCATCCTCTTGAAACTGTCTCATTGTTGAATGTGGAATTTGTTGTGACTAAAATACTCTGAAGTAATAGAAAGAAAATATTCACAAGCAGAACTTTCTGTCATAGTGACACAATACCTAAGGAAATCAACTTAAATGGGGAAAGCTTTATTTTGGCACACAGTTTCAAAGGGTTAAGTTCCATGGTCGGCTGGTTCCATTGCTTTGAGGCCTGTGGTAAGGCAGAACATCATGACATTATGGTAGCAGGAGTATATGGCTGAGGAGACTGCTCATGGCACAGTGATCAGGGGAGAGAGAGACGGGGAGAGAGACAGAGACAGAGACAGAGACACAGAGAAGCAGAGAGGAAGGAGTTGGGGACAAGGAATAGTCCCTAACGGCAAGCTCCTGTGACCTTTCAGCTAGGCTTCATCTCCTGTTTCTATTATTTCCCAATAATTCCATCAAATTAGGGGCACATCAAAGGATTAATACGCTGATGAAATGAGAGCTTTCATGATCCAAGCACTTTCCAAAAATCTCCACCTCTGAACATTGCTGCCAACACTGGGGCTAACTTCAATGCAGCATCCTGTTGTGGAGTGTTTTTAGATTTAAACATAACAGTCTCCTCCTCATTCTTCAAATTCACAGTTCCTCTGGATGAAATGGGGAGCACTCGTCTTGAAGGAGACTTCTTCATATGCAGTTTACTGTGTGCTCCTGATGTATCACCCAGACCAAAGTCAGGACACTGCGGCTAGCAAATATGAAGGATTTTATGGAGATAAATATACAATTTTCACTGAGGCTGCCTTGGGATATGTGTATCATAAAATCAAGGATTGCAAAAAATTGAGGAAAGAACTTTAAATGTAGACAATTAAATGAAAGATAAGCCATTGATCCTTCTAGTCCTACTTATCTTTGTGACTGATGTGTGTAATCATCTAAAAATTTTTATACTTGTTTTTTCAAACTAACTTACCTCTTGTTTTATTGGGTAGCAATATGTCCAGCTAAAAAAGAATGTTTTCTCTTTCATCTTGATGTAGTCTGGACACAGTTCTGGATGACAAGATGTTTGCAGCAATTCCTGAAAGAAGCTTCTGAGCAATTTTTTAAAAACAACAGAATTTTCTGCTTTTGCCCTTCCCCTTTTTTGAGTAGAACATTGACTCCATATCTGATACAAAGGCCCGGTGTTGCCATGATGAGCATGAGGCAGCATGCAGAAGAAATACACCTGTGCAGGAAGAGGGTAGGGCTGGAAATTCAGCCTCTGATTGCTACGAGTGGCAGAGTGTTGCCATACAGTTCTTAGACTGTCAAATTCTCAACTTGTTTTGCATGGGAAAATGAACCCCTTGCATTGTTTACATCACTGTTTTTGTTTTATGGTTTTTACATTACTGTCGCAGCTCACGGCTTTCAGGGATGGCTCTTGTGTGTAGAAAATTGGTTGCATGCTACTATAACTCTTCTAACAAGAACTGTCAGGAGGCATAGTATCTTTGCTATATACCATTAAGAATATAAATCTAAAGTCCTCCTAAGTGAACCCTGGCATTTTGGGTTATTGTCTAACTAAAAATTATGTTTCTGTGGACAGAAGGTGGCATGGTGAAGTGAAGTCAGAAGACAAATGTTTGAGAACCACTTAGTGTGAGGCAACTCTCATTTTTTTTTTGTATTTCCATTTCTTCGTGTGCAAAATGGGATTAAAAGTGCCTACCTCTTAGGGTTGTTGTGAAAATAGCACAAGATATATTATACATAATTTTAGGATGATTATGTTAAAGATTTAACAAGGTTCCTGGCACATTGTAAAGCACACAATAATAAGTAGTAGTGTTTGCTATTCCAAATGATTTTTTAAAAAGTTTTACAAATTATAAGGAGTTACAATCCGAAGGCTTCTCCTTCAACATATAACTGTGCCATTTATTAAAGTATTGTCTTGCACTTCTAAATTCTCTTTTCTGTACTTGGTTCCACAGTGTTGGGGCTGAGACTTGGTGAAACATATTTTCAGCAGTCCTCTGCTACTCTTCCATTAGGGACAGTAAAGGAAGACAGCAGGAGGAGAAAAAGGAGCATACTCCATCCTGTCTGCCTCTTGTTGGCTTCTGATCTGCTTTCTGTGCCTGCTTCATTCAGTGTTCTTCCATCCTGGCAATGATAGTTCCTTCCCATAGAAAAAACTGAATCTAATTTGAAGTTTCTCTGATATTTTCAAATTTTGTCTTCCCTATCGCAGAGACACTGGGACCAAACAAATCTAATTTTTTAGGGTTCTGTGTCTTAGGCTCAAGGGCTGCCTTTCTCTTCACTCTTCTCATAAACAGCCATTGAACAGCATTTGCTCCCCTGAGGTATAGGTTTTAACCCTTCAAGGCTACTCATCCAAACTTGTAGGTTTTAATAATTCTAGCATTTTTCCCGAGTCCTGGAGTTATTAGCCATTTCTTGAAGTTTTCAGGAAGTGGAAGTGGTTAAAATACTGACCACTTACTGCAAGTGGTTAAAATATTGATATCTGAGGTGGGAGGATTTACACTATGGAAATTGGCAAAAGGCTACAAATCAGGTGTCTTCAACTGGAGAGCTGTGAGCACTTAGCAGGCCATCTCTACTATAAATCTCTTTTTATGCCTTAAGTTTCCTACTTCACAGCTATTTTATTCATTTACTTTTTATTCATTTCTTTCTTTTTGAATAGTTAGTGTGACTTCTGTGTTCTAGGTGAACCTTAAATAATACGATAACCTTCTGTAGTTGTTAGGTATTAGCATGAATTTTAGGACAAGAAAACTAGCATGCGTGTGAAATTCTTTATGATAAATATCTTTACAAAAATTACCTGATACCTTAGAATTTTAGAAATAATTTCATTAATGTTATCTGTATTACTAACATAGGTCCTGAGTTTGATTCCTGGTACCAAAAAAAAAAAAAATCCAAAAAGCAATAAATAAACAAAGAAAAAACCCAGTGCACTACTAGCACTGGTTAGTATCAGTAGTACGAATTCATGTTCATTGCATCTTCAATAGGTTAGCTCTCTTGTCTGTTATAAAATGTATTTTGTAATTCTGTCTTGTATGTAGGAGAGGATAACGCATAGTAACTCACTACACTTTTGCTGAGTAAAAAAAAAACATGTTTTTTGAAGAAAAATGAAGTAAATAAAATCCTGTCTAAAGACTGTTAAGATAATTTGGGTCAGAAGAATCTTATTTCAGATTTTTTTTAAAGAAACAACCATTACACATTTTGGCACTGTTATAGATTAGATTTCATGTGTTGTGTTTCTAAAAGCAAAGTATATGTGATATCTATGATTCCTTAAAATTTACACTCTTGCTCTCTCTATAACTGTTTGCTTTTGTGAAGGCTTTTGATCTTCATTGTAACTGCATAGTTTTGCTTATTAGACTTGGGGAAATCTCCCATTGGCTCTGCAAAGCTTTGATCTTTCTCAACATGCCTATGTGAGGTCCCACAAAGTTATATTCTGAAAAGAGATGCCAACATTCTAATGTAATCATCAAAATGACTTGTAAGAAAAAGCAAACTTTTCACACAAATCCTATATTTAAAGATGCTTTCCTTCCAATAACATTCATTAAGCGACCATCTGTTTGCCTTTGATTATCATCTGGACCACTAATAAGCAAGTTTAATCTGAGCAATGCTATTTGCACGCTACTTCTAAATTTAGTGCTTTTCAAAGAAGTCAGTAAGGCTGGCCTCCAGGAAACACTGACTTTGATGTAACATCTGGTTTTCAGGGAGTTTCTATGTAGTGCCCAACTGAGGGATGGACGAAAGGGCAAAGGGAAATCAAATGACTTGGCCAGAGTCATGTAATTAGTTAATGACTTAATATGAATTACCTGCAATTTCTATCTGTGGATGAAAGCCCTACTATGTGTTTCTCTTTATGTGGTATGGATAATGTGTACAGAATTCCCCACACCAAGATATTTATGAATATGTGATAAAAATGTAACAAATTATAGACTGACTTGTGGCTTTCTCTTTGGTGTTCTCTTCCCATATTTCCAGAAGAAAATAAATTTTTGCTTTATTCTTCTCTTCATGAGAAAAAAATGACTTGAAGTAAAAGGGGATTGTATTGCCCACAAAATTTTCTCTGTAAATGAATGGATCATTTTTTCTTTCTAGGGAAACGGAGAGTTATACTGCATGTACAGGCCCTTGATTTGACAAAGACTGGAAGGGATTATCAACAGTCAACCTTTTTCTCTTCTGCTCTGGGCTGGAGATGACAGACCTAACCCTGTCAACACTTTAAATATGTCACAAGTTCAAGGTTATGATGCTTTTATGATAAATGCAAGTCTTTTTTTGATATTTTACTGTCAATGCATTTTATAATGAGTGTGTGATTTTAATATCTTTGTACCAATTATAGCATAATATATGCCATCTGATTAGTGCTTTTACATTTATGATTTAATTTAATCGTCTCAGGTTTTTATTATAAAGCAGTTTGCATATTATATGTGCTTAGAATTGTTTTCCCAGTACTCAAAGAACTGCTTCAATTCTTATATGGTCAAGCCTATCTTAATATCTTATAAATTAAGAGAATTAAAATTCTAATCTGACAAATTAGAGTTTAAGCCTCAGCTCTACTGGTTTCGTGACCTTGAACAAATCATTAGATCTTCCTAATCTTCAAGGTTCTTATATGTGGACTATCTTGTAGCATTGAGATAATGAAATAAAATTGTATGTAAAGCTGTTAGCACAGTGCTCCAATGTACATTAAAAGGTCAAAAGTAGTCCTCAATTTTCTCTCTTGTTCCCTTTTTTCCTTTGTGAAAATATTAGTATTCTGTGCTAGTTCTTACCTGACTTTTACGGAGTTTATGAAAATCATAGACATATCGTGGAGTGAGAAGGATCTTAGAGATCTTAGCTTAATTAGGAAATTAAATGAAATGATCTGGTAGAGACTTTTGATATTTGGCTGGACAAGATCTATTCCCTCTACTTTAATGCCATCATGATTTACTTTAAGGGAGTCCCCTTTGATCTTTTCTATGTAGTCTTGGAAAGACTTGCAGAAACATAACACGCTCTCCACTGGCCAAGACCAAGGGATGGGACCCAAGATATTCCCATTATAATATGTTCCCTGGGACTTGATTTCTGGTGAAATAACACATAGGTAGGGAAAGGATTGAAGTCTTTTGAACTTCTGAAATGGCCATCATAGAAGATACACAGTGTACTCGGGGGTTTAGAACAGAGAGTTAGGAGCCAGGTTTATCTGAGATTAAACTCCTGGTTATAGTTTAAATTGACCATACCTAGGGCAAGTTACTTACCTTCTTTATGCCTTAGGTTTCTTATCTCTAAAGTGGAATCACTACTATACTTAATTTACAAGGCCATTGATAGAATTACATAAGTTAGAATAACTAAAGGAGTTGAAGTATGCCCCCCCGTGCATATTAAGTACAGTTTATATTGTAACTGTAACTGAAAATACTGGTAACAATTTTCTGTTTTTACCTTGAGATACATAGACCTACCTGGTTCCTGTTTTTCACTGCTCTTATATCTCTAGCCTTTCCTTTAATTCATTGCTGGAGGAACTAAAAGAGTCATAAGATTAAAGGAGTAGCAAAGGAAGATTATATACAGCTTTGAATCTATAGTAAGGACTCTATATGTTTTCTGAGTGTGTTGAGAACAGTGATGTCCTGGATATGCTTTATACTGTGAAAGAGCTGAGTGGTATTAGCATCTCTTTCCAAGGAAGATTAGTTAACACTGACCAACCAGCACACCACCAGATGAGAAATTCTTGGAAGCATAAGAGGAGGAGAGGGCACAATCTCACTCACCTTTGAGATGGATTACCCTGACTACTCTTTGCAGAACAATATATAGGAGGTCAAGACTGAAAGAAAGGAGAACAGTTGAGATTCTATTGTTGTAGTTCAGGGAGTTTGCATTCTCATGCAGGTTTGTGAGTAGTTGTGGAGCACATAAGAACCAGTGGACTGTAGGAAATATTTTGGAAACAAGGTGTTGATACATGCTGATAAATCGGTGAAGCCTGTGCATGAAACGAGTCAAGAAATGACTCCAAATTTGGCTTCTAGGTAACTGTACTAGTAGAAATGCTGACTGCTGAGATGAAGAAGATTGAAGTGAAAGATCATAGGTTGGATCTGCAACCGGAACAAAGAAGAATTAGAAAGTAAGATTTAGCGACTCGATAACAGCACATCATAGACTGGCTAGTTCAAACAACAGATATTTATTTCCCTTAAATTCTGGTGACTGGGAAGTCCACAAGGTGCCGGAAGATTTCATTTCTGTCTAGGACACACCTCCCAACTGGAAGACGGCTGCTTTCTTCCTGTCACATGTGAAAACTGTGAACTCTGTTTTCTCCCCCTTCTTATGTGGACATTAATCCCATCGTGGGATGCCACCTTCAGTTACTTCCCTAAAGACCCACCTCCAAATACCATCACATTGAGAATTGAAGCTTCAGCATTTGAATTCTGGGTAGGATATAAATATTTAGTCTCTAGTAAAAAGTAGCTCTTTTAAAATGAGACACATGAAGGGTGAAAGAACTAGGTATTTAACATCGGGCTGAAGACAAAACACTGGTGAGAAGCCATATTATTGTCAGGAGTGAGGAACTGGAATTGAAACCTTGTGGACAACCTATTAGATAGAGAACTGGTTACTTCTTTCTTAAGCTGTAAATAGGCTTTTAGCTGACATTAAAGATAAACCTGTTTCATAAAGACTTGAACAGACATATGTACGGAGAATAAAAGCATTTAATTAACTATTGCCTTGCTCAGCTTACACTAGATTCTCTCCATTGCCTGTAGAAAATGATAATAAGGTTTCTACTTGACAGTGGACTTGGACTCTTTTAGACCACAGTATTCCTGTGGTGAAAATACAGGGTAATGGGTAAGAGAAAAGGTGCTGAAGTAAAGGGCCTGGTTAAAATCTCTTAGCTTGGCTGTTTTCAGCTGTGTGATCTTCAGGAAATTGGTAGAACAGTCTGTACTCACAGGTCTCACATCAGAAGGGAAATATACATGGTTAACCATGTATTAGTTCTTAAAGTGTTTTTTTTAGAAGTGACAAATGGTCTTGGTCATATTTCCTTAGTCAAGCAGATATATGGTATAGCCTGACATGAACAAGGTAGGAATATTTGATTGTCTGACAGAAGGGTAACATGGCACAAACCATGGCAGAGTTTGATATATGGGAATGACAGCACTTGAAAAATTCTCACTGACACCTAAGACTAGAGGATTGCAATCCTACCAGCTCATTAGAAGAGGATGGCTTTCCAATCTTAGAATTTTAGACTGTGTAATAATAGCATATTTATTTTGGAAGGGTCTGAATTTCAATGGATTTAATGTCTTAATTTGAGAACTACTAGCTACTGCTTGGATTTTCCTGGCTGCCCCACAGCCATGGTGTGGTAGCTCTGCCACTCCCCCTACCCACTGGGTCTCATCATTTTTCTGTGAGACGAGGTAGACCAGTTGTCATCCACTTGATTCACAGACATGTTGTGAGGATTAATGAGTTAAAATTTGTAAAATGTCTCAAGCTGCTGAAAGTGATAAATAGAAGGCATAATTATTGGTATTTTCCTATCTTTATTTAGACTTGAAAGGCCTTTCCAGTCACCTTTGAGATTTTGACATTAGTCAGCTACAGTGGTGAATTTAATTTGTTTTACTTCCCTTCTATTTGACATTTCTCTACACTCACCCCATCATGGTGCCTTTAAAGAAGGAATGTCAACCTTAACCTTTCATGTTTCCATCTGTTAAGGTTTTTGGCTCATCTTGTTATTATTTAGTTATATTTTATTTCCCATTTATAAGAATGTGCTCTCAGACCCATGCCATTAGCTAAATAATACCAAGGCAAAAGCATAATCTATACCACATGCTTATTTTGCACCATGTTTGGTGAGTTCATAGGGTGGTGCAGTATTAACCAACATTATTCACAAACACAAATTTCCCCTAAGCTCTCAATCTGAAGATCTCATTCCTAGTGTAAAGAGAGTTAAAAATAAATGTTTATCATGATACTCAGTACATTAGTATGTAGGCACTTTTCATCAATGCCTTTGACCAGATGTTATAGAAAAAGTGGAGATTAAGGAGAAGAATAGTCTATGAATAAGTCTGTCATTTCAGTGATGTCGTTTAAATTAGCACTGTTGTGTTCGCTGTAAATCTTCCTTTGGGGTACAGAAATAAAATGTTACTTTCATAGCCAAGCAAATTTGTTTTCTCTCAAAAACATGCAAATACATGGCTTCCACTGTCACATCTTTACTCATGGCCACTTAGGGCAGCAACTTTTTCAGATTCATATTTCTCCTTTAAGTCTCACTTCTGTGAAGCTGACTCACATTATACTCCTCCTGGCTCCAGCAATGAATTATGAATTATTTGACTTTCCTACAAAAGTGGTGGAAGCAGGTTGGCATGGTATATAGAACCACTGAAAAGCTACTTCAGATAAAGGCTGCATACAATGAGGCTCAAGGATTACATGTAAAATTTGAATAATAGAGTTAAAGGTTCAAGTTTTGTCTCACTCCTTAGGTGTGACATCATTTACCACACTATCCAGTATTTTCTATTTGATATTCAGTGAGTCTTTGATTCACTGGGATTTTATTCAGTATGTAGTGATTAAATACAGGATGAGAAGCTGTGGATTCCTTTTGTCAGACATCTTTACAAAAATAGGCTGGTTGTGAGTTAGGCTTTCCTGTCGTAACATAACTTAATATATGTTAATTTCTATCTCACAAGCAGTTTTTGAGAGTTAAAATTGAATGAGAAATTAGAACTCTATTTTCTTAGGCTGATTAACTTCTTGGGTTCCTTGGGTGGAAGACTTATTTAAAACCTGAAAAATATTAATGACAATAAGCATCATTAATCATTATTCAGCTTTGATTAAACAGGCATTCTAAATTGCTCAATGCATTACTCTATTTATACTTTCAGTGTCTTCTGTGTTTCATCTTGAGCAAGTTACCTACTTTCTCAGAATTTCGCTTTCTTTACTTATGTATTGCGATGATTGAGGTCATCTTTCAGGATTTATGTGAAATGAAAACATGCAGTCTTTGGGCAAGAATTAATTCAGTGCTTCCATAGTGTTGGGCACTGAAGCAGCTCCTAAGGGTATAGAAATAGATCTGGAATTGCCCCTGTCATCTTGGAGATGTGATTAGTGCTACAAAGTAAAAGACAGAATAATATTGACAAAGACTTTTTGGTGGACTAAACTTTTGAAATTTCTTATATAGCCTTCTGTGTGCTTTCTTGTGAAATCAAGTTTTTAGCAAGAAGTCTGCCAAGTCATTTTGGAACACCCCATCCTTCATACCTGATTTCTCTTGATATCTAATTGGGTCCTTCATCTTCTATCCCCCAGCCCCTGGTGAAGTCTAATTACACTAGACTGTGAGGTAAGAGTCCTAAATTGGTTCACAGTCTTCCATACCACTGATGTTTCCTCTTAGTAATTTTCCATCCACCAATTCTCACCCTGACTCTTGGCTTTAAATTCCCTCTTGCCCATGCTGTATTTGGAATTGAGCCCAGTTCTACTGACGTCTCTATTCTTCTATTGTAATATTTCTGAATACAATGTTTTTACCAGTGTAATTCCTGTCCAGCTCTGGCTTTCCTTTGTCACTATGAGGGAGTACTGCAGGGAAACTGGTCAAGAATGTGGAGTCGGAGAAGGAAATCACCTTTGAACAAGTCTTGCAAACAAAACTTAAGGATGAAAAACAATGAGAAACGGAGATGCAGGGAGGAACACTTTGACAAAAGAGATAATTTGAGATGAGAAAGAGTTTGATTCGCTGCGGCTGTTGCGGGATTTCAGTGAGCAGGATACAGTGTGAGATATTGTTAAATTGCTCATACAGGGCTTTGGAGGCTGTGGTTTCAATCTACTTTAGAGGTTATAGAAACCATCAAAACATTTTAAGCAGATTTAAATTTCAGTACCTTTTTATTTAACTCTGATAGTAGCGTGGGGGAAAGTTTAGTTCAGAGGAGTGGCAGGGAAACTAATTAGGACAGTACTATAATTGTTCAGGTAAGCACTGCTGCTGCTTTGGAGCTAGGGTCAAGGAGAAGGGATGCATTGGATATGGTAGATTAGAAAGAAGGAAGGGCCAAGGGCTGCCCAAGTATGTTGATATAAATAGATGAGTAAATTGTGTTATTGAGAAATGGGCAATGAGTGGTCTTTTAATTGATAAATGGCACTGTCAGAGAAAAAACATTTGGTATACACAGAGAATTTTAAGTTCATTTGCAGGTGTGTTAAGTTTGAGATGTCTGTGAGACATCTGAGTGAAGACAATAGGTACAGAAGGGATCATACAAAGATCTGGAGCTCAGAAAAGAGGTCTGGATGGAAAATAAGTTTTTGACTTTAAAGTGATAGTGACTGAAGTCATCCAATGAATGAGGAAGATCAGGAAAAAGATGAAAAGTAAGAAAAGAAGACCTAGGCCCACACGATAAGGATCTTCCATACTTAAAGATTAAATAGAGTGGGAGGGATAGGCCAAGGAGGCTAAAAATGAATGTTAAAAAAAGATGAGGGAAATTGAGTGTGCTGTCATAGGACTAAACAAAGAGAGTCTTTAAAAAAACAGACATTGTATTTTATAAATGGCTATTTTGGAATGGATAAAGTAGCCCAAGGATATTTTTGAGATGTTTGAAATATTGTATAATTGGACTGTGGTGATGATTGAATGGTTCTGTAAATTTATTTTAAAAATTAGATTTACACATAAAAAGGATGGATTTTATAGTAACTAAATTATATTTCAATAAATTGTACAAAAAGAGAACATAGTAATCACGTTGACAGTTAAAGAGAGATTCAGGCAGATAAAACCTATGAAGCATCTTTCTTCTCTGACAGAAAGGAGAACTATACTGGAAAGGAAGAGTGGGGAGGCAGGAGGGGAGGACTGAAAGATGATGAGTGAAAGCAGTGAATAAGTATGACTGTTTGTAGGTAATCAAAGTGCCTTGAAAATTATAAATCTCAGTATATTGAACTATGGTATTAGTTTTAAAAAATATAACAGAGTCTTCCCCTAGAATGATGAGAAAATACAGATACTAGTTTCATGTAATAATGGAGAAACAGTTGATTTTGCCAATTTTTTATATGTAGATTGAGAGTGGTGCTTTTCCTTTCTTCAGGAGCAGCCCAACATGTGGGGTGACATGGGAAAAGTTGTGGAAATCCCAAACAGGGGAGATAGTGGCACTGGCCTGAGGAGCTTTTTCACTTCCTGGGTCATGTGTCACGTACCGATTTATGCCTGGCACATAAAACAAAGAAGGTCATGGGTTTTATTATTGTGCTCTAATTAAATGAACCTTTAAAAAGTGGACAAGCGTCTGAGAAATGTTCCTGCAGATAAATTACACAGAGAGAATCTTAGTAATTTACAAAGAAGAAAGCACTTCCTCCTTTTGCTATAAATTCTGTCAGTCTCTTGACATTGAAACAATGGCTTAATCTGACCAGAGTTGTTAAAAAAAAAAAACTTGAAACAGTTACAGTAATTTGAAATATGAATTATAGTGGTACCAAATTCTGTCCTATTTGTTTTCATTAAGTATTCCATGCTTTTGTGAACTGTTTCCCAGCTATAAAACAATCTGCAAATCCACAAAACTACCTATTGAAATAAGCAGAACTTTCAGTAAACCTTTAAATTCCTGGGTCACAAAGTGTGAAGCCAAGGTTTTAATAGCAATCAATGCATTGGTCACATATAAATTATTATTAATTGTTAAGAGCAAAAGAATTTAGTAGAAAAAGTACTCATAAGATGTTCATGCTGCCCTCACCAGGATACTGTTGACCACCTCGGTCAGTTAAAGGTAAGAAGTGTTTAATACCCAGGTTCTGTGAGTACCTGTTACCTAACTTCCTTTACTCACTGTTCTTGTAGTCAGATTCATATGAGATCACTTCTGATGCTGGCCCTGCTTATTCCACTGGCTATGGAAGCTGTGGATGACAAACAGCAATTCTCAGTCACCTCTAAAACATGTCCTTTCCTTCCCTGCCTGGAAGAGTATACACTGACCAAACATAGGAAAAGCTTTAAAAACCTGCATGGTTGCTGAGCTTCAGGCCTCATTTTTAGGAATTTAATGAGAATATGTTCATTTCAGGCTAGAAGACTTAACTTCAAAGGTGTCCCCTTGCCAATGAGACAGAAGAATTTAAAACTATTTAAACCTAGCATTCAAGGTTAAAGTATGCTATCCACAAATGAGTATTACTGCACCACAGGAGTGGTGCTCTAGAAGAACATTTACTGATCAAGCTGTTTATGCTACACAGCATTTAGTAAGAAAAATTATAAAAGTCTGTATTTGATTCCATCATTAAAACAAATGAACATGAATTTTAAAAAGTTGGAAGAATATGCATGAGAACTTAAGAATTATGATCTTTTAGTTAAGTTATTATGGGAGATTTTTAATTTCTTTTTTGTGCTCATCTATTCTTCTTAAATTTTCTAGGGGAACATAATGTATTACTCTAGTAGTGAAGAAAAATGAATTATTAACAAAATTAAATTCCATTTTTTCATCCTGTCTCCTGAAGAAAAAGAAGTCAAAAATTTTTGGAAGATTAGAGCTTACATTGAGACCATTATTGACAGGATCCATGGTGAGCCACTGTGGGGAAAGCCAGATGCCAGCCTTTTCTTGTGACTCAGTGCCATTCATGGACTGTGCGGGAAGAGAACAAGAAATCAACAAGAAGCAAGCCCTCCTTGAGGATCAGCACAATGCATGGGCCACTAGGGGAACAACCAGACCCCAGCCTTTTCCTGTGAGTTGGTGCCATTCACAGACTGTGGGGGAAGAGAATAAGAAGTCACCAAGAAGCAAGAATTGATGCCATGCATGGGCCACTGGGAGAAGAACCAGATGCCAGCGCCTTCTGGCATATGGGTTGAGAGACAAGAAGAGTCAACCTCCCTCTCCACTGTAAATGACTAGCTAATCCAGAGAAACACAGGCTTTGATGATAGCTATTGAGGTAAAATACAATTTAACATGTGTATTGTTTAGTGTTTCACTGACTTTGCAGACCTAAGGCCATTCAGAGGATAACAATATGCAGAGTAGCATCTATGGGGGTTCTCCTTCTAAAGGTAGTGGCCATTGTTAATTCCCTGCTATCTTGTTTTGACAGGATCTGTGATGTTCAGTTTCCATACAGAGTACCTCTCAGTGCTAATCATCCATTTAGGATCTTGGAACATAGCAATGATTATTCAGTGTTTCTGGCATGGGAATTTCATATTCTGGTGAGTAAAAATAGTCAATTATAAACAAGCTAATAAATATAAAAGGCACCTATAATAAGATCTATGGAAAAAATAGAGCAGATTAAGATGGTAGAAAATGACTGGTATGATTTCTCTGTGCTCACAGGCTCCCATAGAACAATAAAGAAGGCAACTCTGGGAAGGTGGGATAGGAGCAGACACTGGGAAGAAATCATAGATGGCCTTGTATGGTTATTTGGCCATCCAGACTGAGGATGCCGTCAGTGGAAAGGTCCCAAGGCAGAGAACAATCAGATCTGAGAAACAGAGAGGAGGTCTGTGAAACTGGAAGTGAGCAAGTGGGAAAAGGGTCAGGAGTTAGATCAGCTCAGCATCCGATGGATCAGATCACAGAGCATCTTGGGGATTCAGGGAGGGGAAGGTTGGCTTTGGATTTCATTCTGCTGTGAGACACTCCAGAGGGATTGGAGATGGAAAATGACATGACCTGCTTTACACCCTGAAAGGATCACCTTGAATGCTGTGGGAATAATGAAGATATAAGGATGGAAACATGCAGCCCAATTAGAGTAATAGTGTAATTGTTTGATCACATGATAATGAATTTATTATAAATTGATGAATTTATTATAAATTTATTATAAATTGATCACATGGTAATAAATTTATTATAGGATCCAACAAACTTGCAGCCAGATATAACTGGAATAAATCCCATCAAAACAAAACAGCCCAAAGAATGGAAAGCAGAGGCTTGAATACTTGTATACTTGTATACAAGCATTATTCACAATAGTCAAAAAGTAAAAATGTCCACCAAGAGTTGAATGGGTAAACAAAACTCGGTATAGATATGTAATAGAATATTGTCAGCCTTAAAAAGGAAGGATATTCTGGCACATACTCTGAAGCACAACCACGAAACATGATGAACTTTGAAAACATTATTCCAAACTGAGTGAGCCAGACATAAAGGAACAAAATGTTGCGTGGGTCTAATTATACGAGGTATATCCTACAGTCAGATTCATGAAGAGAGAAAGGATAATGGAGCTTACTAGGGGCTGGGTGATGATTGATTAGTGGTAATGGTTGTACAACATTGTGAATGTACTTAATGCCAGTCAATTTTCTGTAAACAGTAAAAATTATAAATTTTGTACTCACTGTATTTTACCACAATTTACAAAAATAGAAAATGCAACATGAGGTAAAAAGCAGAGGAGAAGGAAGTACAAAGTGTTTGATTTTGGATGTATTTTGAAAGTCAGCCAATGGGATTTTCTGGTGGTTTGGATTTGATTTGTTAGTGCAGGAAAAGAATTCATGGAGCTAAACAAATGGAATCATAGATTTGTCCTTTCCTGAGATGGGGTGAGTTAAGGAGAAAAACATGAAGAAGGCAATGAGAAAGTTGATTTTCAGATGTGTTAAATGTGAGATGTTTGTAAGTGATAATGGTCATTTATGCATCTGCTAATCATAAATCTACCCAGTTAGGCCTTTAACAGATAGATAAGTAAATAAGCAAATAAAATAAAGCAAGACAGCTCTTCCAGGACAATATAGAAAGAGCTGTGATGTTCTTGTGATTATCCCTCATGTAGAATTTGTGTCTGTATAATCCAAGGGTAATTGCACTTTTGAAATCAGTACATTTTGTTCATTATATTTTATCCTGAGGTGGCCCTAATTCATTTGGCTCTTTAGATGAAGTTTAATAAAAGAATCTCAGAGTCACCCTGATCTCTCTTATCTGATAAATTAAGATAATGTAGAACTCAAATATAACCTGAGCTCAAAGTTGTTAAATACTTTAATTTTCATCTGTGTTTTGTGTTGGAAAATAATCTTAATATTAAAGGACAGCTGTAGACTGCTAATGACTTGAATACAGTTTGACTGTTTTCATGAAGTGCTCTGTGGGATGTCAGAATATTTAATTCAGGATGTTAAAAACATCCCAAAATGTCACAATAATTATATCACAGCAGGCAATTAAAACACTGGAAAATGCCAACTGACTAAGAGTGTTCCTTGTTATTTAGGAAACTATTAAGAACCTGACATATAAAGTAAAAAATGCTGGTTATAACTTTCTATTTCAACAAAATTTTTGTCATCATATATGAAATTGATACTTGATACTGTCAAGGTCATTCTAAAAATGTTGCCCAAGGAAGAACTAAGGAAGAAGTTTCCATTTGATCTTTAACTTTATAATATCTATATTCACATATTATAAAAAAACATTGTTTGACTTTACATATCATACCATATGTGCTGCAATACCCTCTACACAATGGCTGTGTTAATTATATCTTACATTGGCAGCATTAACTGATCTGATTTTACCATCTTAAATTATGGGCAATGGAATTATTTCCTCCTTTTTCAAATTGTACTTTTCTAAATCCTAATGGATTAGCAATGTAATATTGAAGAGCAGGAGCAGTGTTTGCATAATCCCTGAGGATTACAGTGTCATTCTCAGTGGGGATATTAAGAACTGATGATGATGAGGCAGATAGGAAAATATCCAGGTAGGCTGAGTAAAGAAAACAGAGTACCAAAGTGCTAAGAATTTAAGTGCAATTGTAAGCATGTGGCTATCTTGAATATAAGGAGTATAAGTGAACAATTTGTCAATGCAATATAACATTTGTAATGACCATGGTTATGGACAAATAATCTGCAAAGCTTCGGTTTTAACCTGCAAGTATGTTTTGGAGAAATATGCCTGAGTTTGAAATGGTTGTTTGAAGGTACCTATCCAACACACTGTAGAGGGACTTGTTATGATATATAATTAGCACCATAGTGTTTTTAAGAAGCAAAAATTCTTGCAGCTAACATTCATTTTTTATTTTTGTGAAATATGCTGAAAAACAAAAGCCTTGCTTTCAAGAAATGTGGTGTAGAAGTAGTGTAGAATACAGTAGGTAGAAAAGGAGGACAATGATTTAGAATAAAGTTGAAATATAGGGACAGATTTCAGCACATACACTGTATTAGAGACTTCCTTAAAAACAGGAACATAGAATTATCACTTAAAATTTAGCAACAAAAGTGAATATTTAAGAATGAGAAAAAAGCAACAAATTACACATTTAAAAATCTGGCAAGTACCAGAAATATTCCCGGAAGAAGAAAAGTAGTATTTTAAAATTTTATTTTAAAGATAATAAAACCCAACAAAACAAATTGGAATAAATCCCATCAAAACAAAGCAGTGAAATTGGTACAGAATATCAAAGCTGTATAATAGGAAAACAACATTGGCTACTGTAGTAAATCTTGTTATCTTCACAATAGTAGTTCATCCCATCAGATACAGCAAAATCAAACCAAACCAAAATAAAACCAATCAAAACAGAGTATTGAATAGAGCAAAAACAATTACTTGGAACAAAACAAACAGTGAGAACAATATTGGATTTCAGAAACAAGATAGGAGAAAATTCCCCATATTTGTTATATTACATAATGTTTATCCTCCCTATAGATGTACATATCACTTGCAAAGTCAACCGAGCAATACAAGTACTCAGTGCTTTTTGTACCTCAGTTGCTATCAACTCAGCCTGTCCTCTGAACCAGCCAGCTGCTTGGAGGTGGAGGGGTGGGAGGGACTTGGAGACCTTCAGTTCCGCACATAGTAGGCACTATTTGACTTTTCTCTTCCTGGCCCTGCATGGCTTGCGGAAAAGTAGCATTTTATATTGGTGAACCTACTTGCCAGAACGCCTCCCTTTATTACTTTAGTTGTATACTTTTGATTGTGTTTTTATATGATAATTATTTGTGGTATTTTCTATTGTGAATGAAATGGAAAGTGATAACTCCACATTTTCTTTTGCTTGGCAGTAAAATTTGACTTTTTAAACATGATTGGTTTTGAGAAAACTTTCAATATTACAACTCAAGATTAATACGCTATTGATGACTGTTGTCAAATTTGGGGAAGCCTCTTAAATATCTTCGATGTATGAGTTGTGAAATTTCAGGAAATTTCAGATTTTCTTTTTAAGTAACTTCACTACTGTTAGAGTTAATGCATTCAATAAGCAATTTGTCTGTGATATTCTTTTTGTAAGGGACAAACGAGTTAACTGTCATCTTTATTGATGTAAGCATTTCATATTAAGTCAATGAGAAATTTAGGCCTTTTTCCAATATGTTCACATCATTTAATCCTCTTCATTAATTGTGTTAATAAAACACCCAAAAGTATATTCATTTCTTATATTCAAAATTTATTTGTTCTTTTTAATCATTTGGTATTATCAGAAAGCATTTATTTGTAATTTGTTTTTCAATGTCAGAATCATTTCTGTTGATTTCGTTCCTTTATCATGTTTGTTTTGTATTTCATTATTTTAGTTTGTAATTTACCAATTATTTAGAAAATAAATGAAAAGTGATCAAATAATACCTTCATATGTACCTAAATTAGCAGCAGCCTCTAATTTGTAATTCCTGAGATTATTTTTGAAAATGTTTTTCCAGATAGCAAGAAAAATTGTGCATTTGAACTTTATTAGACATGCCATTCCCTTCAAGGAGGATGACTTTCTTACACTGAGATGGCCTGCGATTTACTCAAAAGGGTTGTGGAAACGATTATGAATGCTAAACTCACACTGAATGTATAGCTAACTCAGCTTGCCTTAGTAGGTCCCCCAAATCTTTATTTAGCTAACCCAGTCACAACTGATACCAGAGGAAGCTGGAAGCAGAGGAGATCGGAGTGGCATAGACAGTTGTCTTTACCAGTTGCAGTGAAAGTATCTTTCGATTCAAAAAAAGTTTCAAAGATACGAGAGTAGGAGTGCACCTTTCTCCACCCCTGCCTGTGGCCTCGAAAGTGTTTCATGAAATTGGAGGCTTTGAAGTTTAAGCTTCATTAGCTATCTGGTAATTCTGGTCCAAATTTGTTAGCTGCTTGTGATTTGGCTTCTGTTCGCTTCCAAGTTTGATGTCTCATCATTTCCCGCACTGCTTTCTCTGACAGGTCC